CTAGAAACTACATGTGAAAGAGTCTTGATCCATGAAGTAGGTATGGGTATGTGACTTAGGTGGGGGTTTGATCCTGTTTAAGTAAAAACAATGCCTTCCAGAAAGATTCCTCCATACCATGCCTGTGATCTATAGGAATGAGATTAAGGGTGGCACCCGGTCTGCCAGCCTTTACTTCTCCTGTTGAAATGCAGTGTAGAAGTGTTGGGGGAAGGGCTCTTAGAAACTTAAGAAGATTAAGGCTCTCCTTCTCATTACAACTTTCTACTTGGCAGATTGACTTGTTATTCAAATAAGTGTGTTGTTCTTGAATATTTTTAACCTCTCTTGACTGAATGGGGATGAGGAAAGACAAAGAGTATTGGCATCCATTTAATTTGAAAATAGACAATTTTTTCATGAGCATTAATTTTCTCAAAATGAAATAACAATCATGGAACTTTATTGAGTTTGGGCACTACACTACTGTCTTCAGTTTCCTGCTTTAAAAACAAAGGAAAACACCCCACAAGATTAGCAGTATAGCGTGATGGCCTGTGTGTAAGCTCACAGCTGACAACTCTCAAAAACTGGACTTTAGGTTCTGAAGAAATCTTTGTAATGACCTAACCACATTCAACCCTCAGGCATACTTGCCTCATTTTGTAGTTGAGGCACCTTGAGGATGGAAGGGATAATATTGCCCATCCAAAGTTACCAATGGTATATTGGTGGCAGGGTCACAACCTGAATTTGGACATGGACCCTGAACAGTCATTCATTTTTCTTTTTTTGAGATGGAGTTTTTCTCTTGTTACCCAGGATGGAGTGAAATGATGTGATCTCAGCTCAACATAACCTCTGCCTCCTGGGTTCAAGTGATTCTCCTGCCTCAGCCTCTTGAGTAGCTGGGATTACAGGCATGTACCACCACGCCTGGCTAATTTTGTATTTTTAGTAAAGACGGGGTTTCTCCATGTTGGTCAGGCTGGTCTTGAACTCCTGACCTCAGGTGATCCATCCAACTTGGCCTCCGAAAGTGCTGGGATTACAGGTGTGAGCCGCTGTGCCTGGCCACACTTACTTTTCTTTCTATTCATAAGGGACCCTTTAGTTACCCTTCATTGCCTTTAGGTGAAGGTCAGTTCCACAGGAAAGTGTGCAAAATGCTTATTATCTGCCACCTGCTGACATGTCCAGTTTTATTGCCTGCTTTGTACATTCTATATCTTCTCCTAAGATTGTGCCTAGCTGTGACCACCCCTCAGTCACAAATTTGTCTTCCTTGTAAACATTTATTGACTTTTCAAGCCCAGATGTCACCTCCACCAAAAAGCCCTCTCTGCCTGCCCCCCTTCCTACCAGTTCGTTTCTCTGGCCTGGTACATTTATTCACTTAATTGATTTATTCAGCAAATATTCACACTGGGTACTGAGCGAAGCACAAGTTATGCACCAGTGAACACAAGTGAGGAGCTCTCTGTGCTCATGGAGCTCACATTCTAGGGGCAGACACACAATAAAGGCAGTAAACACCCAGATACACACGTAATTACAACTAGAGTGATGTCATGAAGGAAATAAAGACTGTGCTGGTGTCTGAAGAACCTGGTAGAGGGACAGATGAACATGCAACCCTGTGACTTTTCACTGTGCATGTCAGTCTTCCCTAGCAGCAGTCCGTGCTATGGGCATCCTGTTCACTATGGGCCTCGAAGAGTGAGGGGAAGAAAGAGAGGTTGGCTGTGCTCCCAGCTGACACCCACCACTGAGATGAAGGTGCCTCCCAATGTGGTGGCTGCCTGGCGCTCAGGGCTTTGTTGAGTCAAGAACATGAACACCCACCGTAGTGAGGAAGATGCTTTGTGAAATGTTAACCATCACCTGCGGAGGTCTGTCCTGCAGACCCTGACTAAATGACGGATGATTAAATGCACTCTCACACCATTACAGTGATTCAAGTGGGCTAGGAATGGTTGTCAGCTGCTTCCAGAGGGCAAAATGTAGCCAATCGACCAAGACCTCCTGGACATTCACACATTTATTCTGCAAAGGTTTCACAACAGAGGTTGTAAGCCATGCTTATGGATAATTAACATGGTTAAAGGAGTGGTTTTAAGAATGATAAAAGCTTTAAGTTCTGGGCCCAAACTAAACACTGTTAAGGGGTAATTCTCCTTTGATCTCCCCCTGAGAGGACCATCCAGCACAAAGTTTGTGTGAGTAAACGGAGTAGAGACAAAGGGTTGTGGGGTAAACAGACAACTGGGGAAGCCTCTTATACTTTCTATGTCTTTCCTATGCTAATGTAATGGACCAGCTGTCTTCAGCCTGCCCCAATAAAATCTTTCCACCTTCCAAAAGGTTTGAGACTAATCTATAACTTTCCCTAATATTTTGCGAAGCCACCACCCCAAGTGAATTCCAACAACTTTGGAAAGGTAAGGAGATGTGATGCTAGGGATGTGAAGAGAAGTCTCTTTGAGATCCCCAATAAGGGCTGTTTCCCCATAACCTTGATGAGGGCGAGTGGGGTGGCTCATTGGGTAAAATGGTATTGAGGGACATGGATAACAGCCTGATCATTGTTCTGCTTATACCTGCACTCTTAATTCTTGGTGCTTAGGATGAATTACTGGGGTGTATTATATTCTCTTTAGAAACTTCTTTGGGAAGATGTGAATAATTTTATAAAAAGTATTTTAACTTTTGAAGCATCAAAAGAAGTAATCAACTACCTCTGTAAAATAAAAGTGTACATATAAAAAGGGAATATCAACATACTACTCAATAATAAGCTCAGAGTAAATGAGGAACATTCGACAAGACACTTTGTTCTTTGGGGTTTGTTTTCAATTTTAAGAAGAAACACTTGCTCTTGATATACAGGATTCTCGTGAAGATTTTTTTAAATTGTGTACTTTAAGGTAATACTCATACAGTGTTGGTGGAAATGTAAATTAGTTAAGGTACTGCAGAAATAAGTTTGGAGATTTTTCAATCGATTAAAAAATAGAACTACCATCTAACCCAGCAATCCTACTACTGAGTGTATGCCCAAAGAAAAATAAATCATTCTACCAAAAAGATACCTGCACTTATGTGTTTATCACAGCATTTTTCACAGTAGCAAAGACATGGAATCAACCTAGATGCTCATCAACAGTGGATTGGATAAAGAAAATACAGTCCATATGCACCATGAAATACTATGCAGCCATAAAAAAGAACAAAATCATGTATTTTGCTGCAACATGGAGGCAATTAAAGGCCATTATACTGAGTGAATTAACACAGAAACAGAAAACCAAATACCACATGTTCTCACTTATAAGTGGAAGCTAAACACACAGACATGGAGATGGGAACAATAGACTTTGGAGACTCCAAAAGGAGAAAGGGGGAAGGGAGGCAAGGGCTGAAAAACCTCCTGTTGGGTATGGTATTCACTCTCTGAGTGACAGAAACAATAGAAGCCCAAGCCTCAGCACCACACAATATACCCTTGTAGTAAACCTGCACATGTACCCCTGAATTGAAAATAAAAATTTAAATATAAACAAATAAATTATAGAGTTTAAATTCTCAAACTGAAATATACTTTCTAAACTCAAACTGTGGTATGAATTAGAAAGATAACTTGCAGCTTTTAAATAAAATATATTTGTTCTTTCTTTTTTTTTTTAACCTTTATGGTCGGTTTTGGGAGATCATGAGTTGAAGGCTTGTTACATAATCTTTCTTTCCTTCCTTTTAATTCTAAAGGATATGATTCCTTTAGGTCAAAATGAGACCATTACTTACAGACCCATTAATTATATAAGGGCAACTGTCCAAATCATATGGAATCACTCTCAGAAAATGTATTACTCTATATATTTTAGTCAGTAAAACAAAGATTTTAATAAAATCAAGGTGACAAGTATCCCAAGATGTTTAAAATCTTTATACTTTGTGTAAAGATTTTAATCTTTAGATTTTAATCTTTAATCTTTACCCCAATAAAGATTTTATAAAATTTTTATACTTTATACTTTTAAAGTATTTGTAGCTTTTATTAGGAAGTTTTATTTATATTTATGACATTCTTTTACTTATTCTTTTCCAATTATTAAAAGTAATAGACTTTAAATTGTGTATAGGAAACATTAAAAGCTGAACTATGGACAGTCTATTTAGTTTTCTTCTTAAACTTAAAAAATACATATTCTTCTGTTTTAAATGTAATTCTCTTCAAATGTGTCCAGACCATAAATACACATGGAAATACAAATGAGTTTTTACAATGTCTTTGCAACATATTATCAGCAATAAATAAGGTTTTTTTCTGTTAATTATAAGTGACCGAAAAAAATCTTTACAAATATATATAATAACAAAGAAGGTTCTTCATCAGTTTCATGAATTATTATAACAATTTTTTATTCAAAAAAATCAATGATGTAAATACCTGCTTGCCAACATAATGAGAGGTGTGACAGTGTGCTTCAATTTAAACGATCCCTTCTCCATTGGTGTCCCAAATTTTATTAGTATTTGATTTTCTTGATGTTCAACTTTGCTTCTCCTGGTGAATTTTTTAAAGAAAGTACATTATATTTTGGGAAGATATAATTACATTATCTACAGTGCCTTACTGTGTTTGATTTTAGCCAGTTGCTTTGCTCTTTGGAAATGGGATGTCTGGAAAGACAGGGATTCTGAACGGAGCCAGAACCACAAAGCTGGGTTGCTGTAAAGCCAGCGCTGAACAAGGAGCAGCAGTCACTGATCGTATTGTGCCAATATCCATGTATCTGGGTGGCACATGTGTGTCAGGGGTACATGCGTGTGTTTTGACATGCCAGCCATTTTAGCCTGTCAGCTTTCTCTGTTAAGTTCAGCACACCGGTCAAAAGATTTATATTGATCTAATTAATTCGTTTCTTCATTGAGAACCTGAAAATGAAGGAGATGGTTAAATGCTGCCTGAAGTAGAATTAAACAGAATTTAATTTATCCTTCACTGTTGTGTGTTTCAGAGACTGGAGCACAAGGAGGTTTTAGTTGGCTTGTTGTTCCTGGTGTTCCCGTTCATTCCAGCCAGCAACCTCTTCTTCAGGGTGGGTTTTGTGGTGGCGGAGAGAGTCCTTTACATGCCTAGGTAACTATTGCATATGTTTTCTCCTATGAGACCTGCCCTCTGTTACCAGCATTAATAGTTCCAGAGAGACAGTCTTTTGTGTGTAGACCATTAGATCCTCATGGGACAAGGGAGGTTATTACCTCAGCTTTAAAAACAGCTACACAGAAGGTTGGATGAAAGCAGGTGTGCACACATGTACTCTTGTTTACAGTGGTTTAACCTCAGTAGCAAATTTTATACTTTAAATGTGAAATATCGACTTGAGTATATTCAGGATTTTAGTAGTGATTATTTATCACTACATCTATGTCTACATGTGTTTTATTAAACATAATTAGAATACTTTTCTAGAAATAGTTTTTGACTTGCATAAAAGTATTATGTTCAGTAGTATGATTGTAATTAACTTCTTTCACTCTTTTTTCTTCAATTTAAAAATGGAAGCAATCTTGAGAAAATTTATCCTTGAGAAAAGAAAAAATGATTTAAAAATTAGAGAGGACATTCAAATGTGTGTGATTACATGATGCCACTTAGCTCTGAATGTTTGCCCTGTGCTGAGGCTTGTCCGTTCTCGTCTTACTTGAATGTGTTTGTTCCAAGGCCACTTTTCTTTTCTGATGCTTGAAAATGTCACTGAATCAGGAGACCAAGCCTTGGTTCTGCCATTTATTGGTTGGGTGACCTTGAACAAGACACAAAGCTTTTTTTGCGCCCAGATTTTCTCATTTTTATAATAGGCGTTTTAGTAAACTTGCTAAAATTAACATTTTGGATTATCATACTGCCTTTTAGACAAGTTCATTCTTCTTCTGTAAGTATGAACCTTCCTAAAAGGCAGTATCATAAACCAAAATGTTATGAGTAAATGAGTATTTTTTATGATATTATACTAGAAATTTTAAAACACATTTATTTAGAAATGAATTTCATAATCATTGATTCCTTCAAAACAAGTACCTAACAGCTTTCTTAAGAATTTGCAGTGTGTGGTTTTGACTTGTTTAAGGGGAAAGCAGCCCTTAATTTGTTTACTGTGTCTTCAGCACAATTTGAGAAGGAGATGAGTGCTTGATGAATCCTATTCAATAAGAACAAAAATACAACATGATTCTTTATATTCTACATGGTTTACGATGGGAGTCTTGTGAAGACTTGCCAATAATAATGAATATACCTGTAGTATAGAAGGCCAAAAAGTAGCATCAATCTGTATTCGGGATATGTTTTTGCTTAGACCAGTTGAATATGTCTTAGCTTTTCCTTGTAGTATTGGTGATTCCGAATGGAATCATTCTCCGTTTGATATTCATAGAGCCCCTCTGGCATAAATGCTCTGTTAAAATCTAAAGCTACAAAAATTAGTGAATCTCAGTGTCTGTGCTCAATGAGTTAACTGCAGATTAACAAAATTGAATCCTCATATTAAGCATTTAATAGGCCCTAATATTTTATAAATACTATTGTATTATAATCATTAATGCTATTTTATCATTAATTGCATTAAAACGTTTGTTGCATTTTTTATTATATTTCAGTCACTATGCTAAGTACTTTCTAATTCACATTGTAGTAGTGGGTCACAGCCTGCCCTGAAGCAGAGGGCCTGCATTCAAATTCTGAATTAAATATGATCGTGATTCCTCTCTCAGCTGTATAAAACGGGGATAGTAATAGCACCTAACTCAATGACATATTGTGACCATTAAATGAAATAATTATAGGACCAGTAGTGATGGCTCATGCCCCAGCACTTTGGGAGGCTAAGGAAGGTAGATTATTTGAGCCCAGGAGTTTGAGACCAACCTGGGCAACATGGTGAGACCCTGTCTCTACAAAAAACACAAAAAATTAGCCAGGCATGGTGGCACGCACCTGTGGTCCTAGCTATTCAGGAGACTAAGGTGGGGATCTCTTGACCCCAGGAGATTGAGGATGCAGTGAGCCATGATCATGCCACTGCACTCCAGCCTAGGCGACTGAGCCAGACATTGTCTCAGAAAAAATAAATTTTAAAAAATGAGATCATTATATTATAAAACTTAGTGTTTTGTATTATATATGGTCAATAAATACTAAGTATTTTTATTCTTGATATCAGTTCCCTGAGGTAGCTGACAACATTATTGCCATTGTACAAAATTAAACTTGGGCTCTGAGAGGTTAGTTAAGTTGCCCCAGCTGGTATAGCTGGTGAGTGGCAGAGCTGGAATACAGATCCCTGTCTTCTACAGATCTCTTACCTGCCAAAGTGAAGATGCTGGACTCTCAAATATACTTGAATGTGGAAGAAGAAATGATAGAGTTCAGATTTTCAAGATGAGCAGAGAAAGTGGTTTTTCTAATTTTTTAGAGGCAGTTTTCGAGTCACTTAGCTTTGGCCAAAGGTCTTGCAAGCCTAGATGAAAAATTTATTAACAGTTGAGACTACTCGAACCAGGCTAGGGGGAAAGAAGCCAGTCCTAGAGTAAAGCCACCATCAAGGGGAAGCAGCCAGGCCCTGAGTATGGACAGTTTTGGTGACAAACAGTCATGGGTCTTATTGTCTTCAAGCCCAACTTGGATTGATTGACGTTTAAGTTCACAGTTGTTTCCATGTTAGTTTCTGATACTTTCAACCACAGTGGTTCAACTATGCTTATGAAGCTGCTCCTTCTATGTTTTAGTTGGTTAGGGTTCAGAAATGAATAAAATGTTATTCTGTCCTAAAAACAACCTGCTTGAACTTCCAAACAGTTAATAATTTTATTTCTTATCAGGGTTGAATGCAAAAGCTTCCCCGTTATATATTAGTTCACCAAAGAGATTACATTTTACATTATCTTCACTTTCACAAAAGTATACATTGCAGAATAGACAGAGGTTTGAAATGGTTGTAAGGGAAGATTTGCTTAAGCACTTGTTTGTGTCCTTGGTATATGAATGTACCTTAACATAAATATGTGACTACAATATTTCACATACTGCCAGTGTATCTTTCCTTCTGCAATATTCTGTTCTATGAAAATGATATTTGAATCAAGCCTTTTTAAGAAAACTTGATCTTAAAAAAACTTATAATTAGTTATTTGGAGTCAATCTGGACTTTGATAAACTGAGTTTTCTTGAGGTGTTATTTATAGATCTAATCACGTGTTTTATTAACGTGGAACTGATAGAGTAGTATACTGAAAGCACACGTAAACACAAAAACACTCCATTTGAGGGCATTGATATCTTTAACTTCACCTTTAATTTATAGAACATATTCACGTAAATTATTTCATTTATTCCACACAACAACTCTTTGATGTAGGTGTGGCAGATAATACTAAGCCTTTGTAATATAAACCACAAAGGCTCCATGAGAGATTCTCCTGTGGCCACAGAAGTCATGAATGGTAGAAAAGAGCCCATCTCAACCAACCAAGGGCCAAGATCTCTTGCCCAGTTCCAGACTCTTCAATCTCCAATGAATTCCCAATTCTTTTTTCCTCATTGGAAACTCCAAACATAAAGTCTACAGTAGAACTTCATGTTCTACTGCATGTAATAGAGTCCTTGGGGCCTTAGGAAGTTCCTATATTTATAATAACCTGGTAGAAACATGTCTGTTTCTATCTGGAATACATACAAACGTTGCACACTTCCTGTTTCTTACTCTATTTCGCAGAAAAATAATTGCCTAACGGTAATATTATTATAGTATAATAAGTTTAATGTTATAAAGTGTTGTTTTGTGTGTATTAGGCATGGAGCACTGCAAACAATTGTTATTCCCCCTTACAATATAAACAAATTAAGAATTAGAGAACTTAATTTGTAGGATCAAACAACAGTGTCAAGGCAGATATGCAAACTGAGGCTTTTCTGATGCCAGAGCCCTGCCTTATTTACTACTAGACGTTTCATAAATTTTGGAGCTGGTGGGTGGACTGTGAGGCTGAGAGAAGTGGAATTAGGTAAGTTCTCAGAAGGTGAAAGCATTGGCGTTTTTCTCCCAGTTGTGCCATAGACATGCTGGGGAAAAAAAAAACAAAAAACAAAAAACAGAAGAAATCTATTTTTCTCATGGAGATCTGTATATGAAGACTCTTTTCATACTTAACCCTGGATCTCAATACCTAGCATGGGAGACTAGGGAAATACACAGAAATGTCTTTGGGGATTCTTTTCTTGGAATATGAATAGATTCTCACGTCCAAATATATTCATTCTTCTGGAAATTTCCCCAACCATTGAGTGTTTGAGGCGAAGAATGAGGGGGAAAGTGGGAGCCCTAATCAGATTGGAATGAAACTAATTAGGAGTAGGTTTCACTTAGACTCTCTGAAATTGGGAATTCTTTAAAAGAGTATAATGGTAAGATTGCCTCTGTCTTGTATTAGTAATGCTAGTTATAGCTATTCTTAGTGGGTTATTATAGCTTGTGGACAAATTAAAAGGTAGAGTTTCAGTTCCACTTAATAGCAAAAAGATACTCTTTGTTACTTATAATTAAACAGGAAATGAAGCCATAGCAAATATCATGAAATGTCTGGGCCAGAGGTAGAAAGCTGTCATTTTTCCACCTCTGTGAATTCTGCTGTAAACGTGAATGGGCAGTGTTGTTGTTGCTTTTTATTTAATCACTTAAAAGCTTCTGGGTGAGTTTCAGGAAAGTACATTTGTACTAACTATTAGGCAATGATGTGCTGCTAACAAAGTTCCCAAATAACATATTTAAAGCATTTGTTATTCTATTGGGAAAGAACAAACATTGGCGGTTTCCATTTTCTGTTAAATTCTCTTTGAATGTGCATCATAAAAGCAGAAGGAGAGATGCAAGTGTTTTTGGTTGTTTCAGTGCCACATGCCTAGCAGCTTGTCAATAAAATCAAAATTGGAGATACCACCAGCCTGTGAAGGAGAGAGGTGTCTTTGCATGTCAGATCGCTGCATTCTCAAACGTGCTTTGAAAATGCACCTTAGTATTGAGCTAAACCACACAGTCAGCAGCCTGAGTTCGGCTTTGGGCTCTCCAGGTTATGATTTTGTGA